ATAATCTGCATGGAGCACAACCACCTCAAGGCCACAATACATCAGCTACACTGCCTGTTTCTCCCCTGTTTTTTTTTTTCGTTTGTTTGTTTATTTGTTTGTTTGTTTTTCCTCCTTCTTCTCCGCATGCACTGTCACTATATAACTCAGGACTTAAGCACCTGCCCCCTCCCCCTTGCTTGTTTCCTTAAAATCCCCATAACACACTTTGGTGTATCAAGGCCCTCTCTGACTCATATTAGGAAGTTTTTCCAATAAAGGCTGTTAGGCTAGTCTCCAGGGAGGGTGGGTGACGGTCACAACCACGCATTATAGGTATAAAATACTTGACTGCAAGCTTACACCCTTTAGTGGCGCTAAGCCATGAAGACCAATGCAGACAAGTAGAAAAAAAGAAAAAAAAAAAAAAGGACTGAGATGGCGGAGAGAAAAAAAAAAAAAAAAAAGAACAAACCCGGCACACCGGCTCATCCAAATTACTGGGCTCTCCTCTGTCATTTGGTTTAAATACAAAACACTCCCACACAGGGGCCGTGGCATTTGGTTAGGAACAAGTTCCCTGTCTTTCTCTTACGCTCTCTTTTTTCTCCTCCTCGTCTCCCCCTCACGAAGATCACGCTGTGTGTGTGTGTGTGTGTGTGTGTGTGTGTGTGTGTGTGTGTGTGTGTGTGTAGCCCATAGCCCTGCCTCCCCCACAGAGACAAAGACACTCGCTGACAAGAGCTTTCCCTCCCTTCATTACGCTAATGAACCAACTCACCTGGCTGCCAGACGATGCACGGCAGTGAACGCTCTTGTCGTCCAGTCTCTTTAATGGAGAGAGATGAGGAAAACAAACACGCATGAATATGTCAATTAATTGTGGCCGGAAAAGTTACCGTCTCCCTTTAAATTCACCGTGCAATTAACTGACTTATTGCATATCGCGACAGGCCTAGACTAGCGGTCTTAAAAACTGGTTCGAACAAACGCTAAGAAACATAAAATGCAGCTGTTTCTCCGAATAATAATGGTGTACTAAGTAAGAACTTTTCATATATGTGAGTACTTTGAAAGGTATGAACAAATTTACGAGCTGACTGTAGGCCTGTAGCTGTAATTCAAAGAAGCTGTTATGCGTGCGCTTATATTAGGTGGAGCCATTATTGGAGAAGGTCTTTGGTTGGTTGCGTTGTTGCTAGAAAAGAAGAAACAAGTTGAAGACACTACAAAGTAAAACAAGCCCTTTTTTAGGCCTGCTCTGCTAAAGGGCCAGAACCTATTATGCAGAATTAGAGCCATGGATTTTTAACAACCACACATACACACCACCACCACCACCCGCCCAAAAAATACAGGTTATGGCAGTGCGCCAGTGTTTCACATGTGTCCTGATCAAATGTGTCAGAAAACCATCTGATGGTATGATGCACAGCAGGGAGGACCATTGCTTTTATTAGTTGCCTTTGGCCATTAACTGACATTTTTAGAGCAGCTCCTTTGAAGCGCCCCTGCTGGAAAACTTTGTGAGCTTTTGAAGTAATTTGGACAAAAATATGGCTCAAATAGCTGCAAATAAAACATGACTACATCATTAAAAATATGAGAGGATTGAGAATCCTCTAACTGCCTTAAGAGGCTAATCTTTGGGATAGCTCTCGTGGAGTAAAATTAAAGGAGAGGAGCAAAGGGAATTCTCCAATGAATTAAAAAGAGCTTGACTATAATGAAAACATGATTGAATCACTGCCTTCCTGTTTGCAGGAGAATGCCTCTGCCTCGACGGCTACATGAAGGACCCGGTCCACAAGCACCTCTGCATCCGCAGCGAGTGGGGGCCCAATCAGGGGTAAGTTATGATAATCACCTACTGATGGTTTATGATTGCTCATTACCAGGCAGAGGGAAATGGTGGAAAAACAATTTACAACAGGGAAATCCGCCTTCACATCACACAAGGCCATTCATTTGGTTGAACAGATAAATCAAAAAGAACGGTGATGCTGCCAATGTCAGTTAATATTCTGAATCAGACAAAACTGCTGGAGCACCTGAACATAAAATACAGAGTTATTATACAGTTAAATACAGTCACTGTATGATAGTGCATCTACTCATGGATGAGAGGCTTGTGCTTGTGATAGCGTAAGCTGTGAACATTAATGGCGTCCTTCTCAGCTGAGCTGTAACATTACCTAGCTCAGTAGTGCTAGATGAGCTAGCAGTAGATGCACTTTTCCTTCTGCGCAGTGACACAGTTGGTGGGTGTAGTTCAGCAGAAAGAAAATAGTTCCCACATGAAACTGCTCACAACAAGGTCTGTGGATTATCTTGAGTAATTGTGTAATGCTTTTCGGAAAGAGACATTGCTGTTGAGTTTTTCAAATGTATTTTTTGGCACTTTGAACACCACAAGCAGAGTGCCATCTGGTTCCATTATACAGGAGAGAATATAGACATCTCTACCACTGATATCTCCAACACTCTGCAACTTACACCAAAACAATCTAGATTGATAAATAGCACTACAGGTAAGAGGAAACATTGTTATTTTGGGGTGAACTGGCCCTTTAAAATTTGAAACACAAATGTCACTAGTAGCAGCTTTTCCATGAGATTTGATAGCAGAAATACATTTTTGACTCTTTGGAGAGATTTGGAGACCATCTAACATGCTTTTATTCCCCCACATCCTGACTACTGTAGCCCTTATATTTAACTTATGTGGGAGTCATCCATATGTGGCCTGCAGCTAACTCAAAATGCAGCAGCAAGACTCCTCACTGATACCAGGAAGAAAGACCAAATCTCCCCTTTGCAAATACAGACATATTTAATATTATTTTGTTTTTAAAGCATGGCATTGACTGGCACCAGAGTACATCTCTGGTCTCCTCAGTCCCTATTCTACCCTCAGACTCCTCAGATCCTCAGATCAGATATTCCTCATCATGTTCCCAGTCAAAGTTCAGTGACTGAGCGTTTTTTCATCCCTGCTCCCAGACTGTGGAACAGTTTATGTTCACTGTCAGATATTACCCATCCACTGCCAATTTTAGATCTAAAGACCTACTGTTTTACAATTGTGCTTGAGTCCCTTTAATAATTAATATAACTAAAGCATTGATTTAAATCTGTTCTGTTCTACTTTTATAATGAGGCAGACAGACTGCAAAGCACTTTGGCCAACACTTGTTTTTACAGTAAATGTCTTCCACAAATAACTTTTGACTTAATTTAAATTGACTTAAACATGTTAAGCTTAAGAAAGTAATTACTAAACCTACTTACCAAATCTTACTGCCTGGCTGACCACACTACATTATTGTGCTTTGTTTATCTATTTGTGAATAATGACAGGGGTAATCCGGCAATTTAATATTGAGTTGGGGGAACCACAAGAGACAGAATTTATTTGTTTATTTATTTTTAAGAGAAACATCAAAACTGAAGCAAGAGAGGCCGAGATATTCTAACTCCAAAGATCCTGAATCCTACAATAACCACATTGTAACAAACAATACTTTTTCCATTAGATTTAATTTCTTTCAAACACTGTAATGAGGGGTTTTTGTTATAAATTTGTAGTCTCCATGCCAAAGCCATCTTTATGTCTAAAACTGTGCCGCTAAACCAAAAATACTTCAAGCTGTGGACTTAAAAGACAGTTGTGTGAAATTTAGCGCTACCAATAAATCACGTCCTGGCCTATGGTGAGTCAGTAAGGTTGTGGGCACTTTATCATGCTTTTTGGTCCTCTCATCTCTTTGGGTGCAAGGTCACTTCTTCTATATTACAATAATGATTTCAAGTGATGACTTGATATCTTTTGGCATTGAAAAATGCTGTTTCAGACCCCCGTCCCAGGAAGTCATATAAACGCTTAATTGGGTTCACATCTGCTTGTTAAAAAGTCCTTGACATTTGGCTAACACCTCAGCCACAGTGCCAACCACTGGGTGACCACTCAGGGTGAATGTGTATGGGTGCTACTGATCCAGAAACTGCTCACACTCACGTCAAAAAGAGACAGTGTCGACAATTCCCTCTGTGACCTCATATACCATGGGATTACTGTGGGATTAGTTATTTACTTAGTTTATTAGTTGTCTTTCCCCCCTTTACTTCCAGTTTTGAAGAAAATCAGACCATACTCTGCAAAGACACACATTTAGCAAATGTCAGAGATTGTGTTATACTGTTAATTCCATTGTATCTATGCTTTTTAAAATGTTACTAGTGCATTAGTCCATACTCATCAATCTTCCAATTATAGCAATGGGATTTCTATGTGATTAATGTGATGAAGTACCTCAATTTGTCAGGTACTTAATTGCCAAAAACAAACATTTCCAGCTGGCTATGTTTTATATAAACTGATTTTCAATTAATCTTCCAGAGAATGTATATGCAAAATAAATGTATATGTACCTTGATATAAGCTTTTATCCAATAGACCATATTTTGTGAAAACATAAATAGTCAACCCTACAATATCATTGAAATAGTGATATCACGGTATTTAACCAGTATTTTGTAATATTTGATTTTCTCCATATTGCCCAGCCTTAGGAGTGAGGAACAAGTGAAGTAGTTAATCACTTTTGTATCTGGGGTTTAATAATCAGTAAAGCCCCTTTCCCACTGCACAAAAAAAAACAATGACGCTTGCTTACATCTGGCATTTCATTGTAATGGGAAAGGTTATAATCAGCATTCACATCTGGGTCAGATGACTTTGCGGTAGTCATGGGTATTGATCAGCTCCAGCTCTGATCGGCAGTGATGGAAATAAACCATCTGGGTGAACTTGCTAATTTTAGCCCCTTTACCGGTGAAATGCAATGAGATGCCACCACAAAATACTGTCTGTCTCCGTAGAAACAGTGCTTAAACACTGATCCAAATTTCAATCAGGCGAGACTCATTTCTTTTGTTTTTTTCTTAGTAAAAAGAATATTTATTAACAAGTGCACGTAAGAATGACAACTATGGAAAGTTTTTGGCAATTAGACCCTATAGAGATGGTATGATTTAGGGAAGGTGATGAATCCATAGTCGAATAGGGAAGGTAGAGGAGGCAGTGGAAGTGGGATAGAGAGGATCGTAAATGGATGAGCTCAAAGAAAGTCTTCCTGATTGAACTTACTTTGAGCCCCATTAGTCACCCATTAGAGTTTGAAAGAGAGAGAGGCCACCATGCTGCTGTCTACTGATTACTAACCTCTTTTTTTGGCTTGTCCATGACATCAAACATGATACACCAGTCAAAAAAAAAAAAAAAGGGCATACTTGTCTTCTGCAGAGCTGTGTACTTTTTTCCAAGGGGGCTTGCTGGTGTTTAAAAAACCTGCATACATGCACTAATTTTGGTAGAAGACAGGTATAAGAGGCAGTTTTTTTTAACAGCTGTTAGTTTCAATTTAGAATTACAACTAATTTGTATGGTGTTAGGAGTCTCCCTACAGAGTACTACTATACAAATACACTAGGTTCCGACTGGTCTGAATCAAACATGACCCTTGCCAACCCATTACAGCTGGCCAATCAGAGCCAGCTATTCCTGCTCTGTAGGTTGAACTTCATTTGATTTTAAGATGGCACGCGTCATCTTTACATTACAGCTAGCGCAAAATGGAACCTTTAAATGTTAAAGCAGGGAATGAATGAATTGTGAGATGGCATATGACAGACAGAAACATAATTGAATGGAATACCACAAAATTAAATCAAAATGTTTAATTTTGCTGTTTCATTTTAAAATTAAATGATTGATAAATAATATCAATGGAAAATGAGTCAGTGTTGAATTACATCTTGTCAATTATCTTTTAAATTGGTTAAAGTCAATCACAATAAAGTATATAGCAGTATATATAGTATATTATCTCAATGGCTCATTTAGTTGTCAAATATTTGTTTTATGTTGTTGTTTTATGTTTATATGTACCATACTGTAATTGTGACGACAGGTTGTAAATAAACCCTATTAGAATTAAATTAAATTAGATTTATTCAAACACATCTTGCATTATCAGCAAAACTGATAAACTGAACAGCAGTTTGAGTTGTTTATTACCACCTTAACACATTAAGTCATGAAGTGAAGATAAGTGGTACAGATAAATTATGGTAGGAGAACTAAATTCTTGTCTACGACATCACCAGCAGGCAGAGTATGCCATTTTCTCTTTATTTCCACTGTGTGTCATGCCAGCCTCAGTGCATGTTCACAATGTGGATTTTATTTGGTCTACATATTTTGAGACATCTGAATCTTCCTGTTAGCCCACCCAACTGTGCACCTCTGAGTCTCATTTCCCTGGTGTTCTCCTTGTGTCCCCGTCACTGTGACAGAGTGGGCACCCTGGGGTGACTTAAATGTTTAATGACCACAGCCTGTGGCATGGAAGCGGCTCCCCTCTTCCTCGATGTTCTTTTTGCTTACAGTAGTGTAGGAGTTTGCTCAGAATGACATCGGGCCGCTGTCACTTCTCCTCCTTACACTCTCACTTTGCAGACTGTTTAGTCCCCGAGCTGCCACTCCCCATTAATCTCCATCATTCTCCCTCTCTCACTTCTGCCTCTTGGCATCAGTCTCGTCCCCTCGATGTTCCTCTCTCTCTCTCTCTCTCTCTCTCTCTCTCTCTCTCTCTCATTCTTCCTCTTTGTCTCTGTTTTTTCATGGTCTGCTCTCTCCATCACCGTCTGTCTCCCCCTCCCTTCTCTGTGTCTCTTTCTCCCATTCTGTCTCATCCTGTCATCCTCTCTTATCCCCTCCCCTGGTAAATAGATACGAGCCAAAGTCACATTGCATGTCAGCTGCCGCCGAACACATTTTTCAATCAGCATGTTTACACACAGCACACATCGTAATGCTGCTTGTGATTTGTGGGGCTCTGGGAGGCAGGAATGACTTGAAGTGAGACACTGAAACATGGCTTATGATTTTAAGGGGTTTAGATTAGGAGGATGGGTACACTGAAAAATTCAACGCTTCTCTCTCTTTGATTTTAACACACCGTTTTATTCTCCCCTCTTTTTTGTCTCTTCCTCTGATCTATTCTTTTTTCCACGCCAGTCCCTGGCCTTACACCATCTTCCAGCGCGGTTTTGATCTTGTGATGGGAGAGCAGCCCTCTGATCGCATTTTCAGGTAAGTGAAACTTCACAAAACTTTGTTTTCCCCGACTGCTTTTTCCATGGTGCTGCACAATGCACGGCACGCAAAAGATCGCACAGTCCAATAACTTGTTTTAATTCTGGTACACTAGCTTTGATTTCCTCTCTCTCTCTCATGATTAAGGGAGGATGTTGAGCTCTGGCTGCAGAGTGCCTTCTGTAGCTGCATCTGTCAGTTTTAAAAGTCTTATGTAATGGAGTGAAAGATTAGATTTCCAAATAAGAGAAGCAGAGGCACTTCATTTTCTCTCAGGTCAGATAATCATTGTGTTCTGATTAATGTTAGAGCAGCATGTTTGTTAAATTAAATGGAAAAGAGAGTTCAATTGGCAGACAGCACTAATTAAAGGGGCTGCAATAACTTTTGTGAAAGTGTGATCACATGAACCGTCATGTTGTCTTCCGCAGTTTGAGTGCATTTATAATATATTTCTTTTCTACGATGTCCCACCTGAGTTGAGCATTCTCCAAAGATGCTGTTGGCTATACCAGTTTTAGCCAGGTTAGCCATTGTTAGCAATACCAGTTAATAACAATGCATTATGCTGTATTTTGTGCATTAAAACACTGAGCAACACGTCCACAGATAGAAGTTGCACAGCCCTGTGCACAGGACTGTTTTATTGAGACACAAATTAGGCAGAACAGCTTTCACAACTGTTGATGCACATAGCAGCCATCTTGGATTTTGAAGGCGGGGTTGGTTGGGTTCCTCCGACTTTGCAAGTCAGAAATCCAACTTAAGGGGGTGTTCCATGGGTGTGCTATTAGATCCGGGTACTGGATCCCAAGGCCACACCTATTCGGTCCAATGAGAACTGCTTGCCTGGCATGTACACCCAAAAAGTTTGCTGCCATGAGGCCCACTAAATATGTACAGTAGTTTTTCTTACGCTTGCCCCCACCAACTAGTTCCTGCTTGGCTCGTAGACTTTAAATTCGAAAAAGTCATAACCTTGGTTGCAGTTTGAGGTGTCTCTTTTATAATGGTGGTCATTGTAGAAAATGTTCTTTGGGCCACAGGTTTTTTTTCACACCAATATCACAAGTGGCCGCTGGGAAAATTGGAAGCAAGGCTGAGTGGCTGTCTTGGGAGCCTGGGGCGCTCTAGTTGAAATTCCTAATTAGGAACCTTGGATTTCCAACTTTGCAGTGCAAATGAAATGCACCATGAAACCAGAGTGAATATTAACCTTTTGTAACGTGGCGAAAAAACACAACTCCAAATGAACTCCAGTTCTGCCTTGTGTTTACTGGATGAGTAATTAGGCAACTGATAGGTAACGAAAGTATTCGCTAACACATTTCCCAGTTCAGCTTTTAAAAGTGACTACCAGAACATCATTCATGTTCTGCAGCTTCTTTGCCTGCCAACAAGCAGCCAAAATCAATAAATGCTGTATTAAGTAAATAACCACACTAACATTAAGTAATAAGTTGAGAATTTGTCTTAATGTTAAACATTCCCAGTAACTTTTTCCCCAGTGTTTCATGGCAGTAAATGTGCCTTTAATAGAGTATATGTAGTTAACAGGATTCCCCTTTCCTATGTTCACTGCCAGCCATTTTACACAACATACAACAGAAGACTTCTCTGTGACACAGGTTGCTAACAATGTTAATACCTGCTTATTTTTCACCAAATGATTTGTTTCCTGGATTGAGAAAGAGCAGATTTGACAGAGCATGTGCGACTGCCTTCATCACAAGTCCTTCCATGACAATACACCAACAAAAACAGAAAAAGACTGTTTTTGCTACTGCTTACAATAGAAAGGAAACCAGTAGAGAGTGTGTACCACTCTTGCAGCTGTTGGCATTGTCTTTACGTTAGGAACAGACAGAGGAGGCTGGCATCGCACTAATATCTCCAGGAAGTGCTTTGATACATCGCCCTCCCTGCTAGGATCTTTTCTGCAAGAAGCCTTTCACTTCTCACTCCGTCCAGCCGTGCAGTTTAAAATGTCTTTGTCCTCAGACTGCTCCCACCCAGCCATCCATCCTAATTTAAATCTTTCAGCCTCAAGCTTTGAACTTCGCCAAGCAACCCTGTCGTCTCCAGGCGCCGGCAAAAGACCTTGAATATCAGCGAGCGCTCGGAGAGCCACGCCGCCATCATCTTGTTTGCCAAAGCACATATTACCATTAAACACAGGAGCAAATGAGGCAATTAGAATCACAGTGGTATAGAGGATAAAGTAAAACAAAGCAAACTCGAGGATGCATGCAAAAATTCTCCCGTGTCGGAGGAGATAAATGCTGAGAGTCAGCATTCAAACACACAGCGTTTGCCGTTCACACAGTATTAACCGCGGGGTGTTCCTCTGAGGGCTGCAAACATGTTTTCCACTCAACAACTGTTTCCTCACGGGAACTCTTAGTGTTTTCCACCTCCAGTTTCTCTGTGGGTGAACCAAATAAGTCATATTGCGGAACACTAGTCCCTAGTTGTCCATTATAAAGTAGTGCTCGTTAAGTGGCTGCTAATTTGTCGTGTGGTCACCCATATACGTCATGATGCATCACAGGGAATTTCAGTACTCCGGCTGTACACAGTCCCATAAGAGACGGTGAAATAACACATGGGAGAGGTGGTAACAGCTTCCTGGAAAATAATATGGGAATATTACCATTTTAATAGATTTATTATAACTTGGTAGAGCCAGTAAATGGAAAGACAGCAGCACTTTGATCCACAGAAAACCTGACTTTGAAACAAAAGGAGTAATTGGGTGGATGTAATTAAGTGTTCCACTTCTACAATGGTTTAATCAGTCTGTTCTTAAATTGACTGGTAATGCATGCAGTTCTCACTATCTTCTGCCCTTTCCTTATGCTAAGTTAGCAATTTATTAAATGCAAATTAAACAATTGTGAATGAGGAAATGTGTTTAGTCTGCATAAAAATGGTTGTTAACCATTTGATCAACAAGTTCCCCTCTTTTGTGCTACAAGTATTCATGCATAATTCATCAGTGCTAATAATGCAATTCAGCGTGCACTGTTTAACTTAAAGTTGGAAGTATTACATTTCATCTGCAGAGTGTTTAAAAATTGATGATCTTCATTGACTCACAAATAAAGAATTGTTTTAAAGCTCCTCTTCCAGACATCTGTTGTTTACAGATTTATAGCTGTGTTTTGTCTCAGGGGAAACTCCTATTGGCCTTTTTTGTCAGGGTTTCTCATTTTGTATGCATTGCGTCCATTAGCACAGAGTGTCCTTCTGCTTCAAGAAAGAGTTATGCAAAAAGGATAACTTTGCTCAAAGGTAATATAAATACCCTCCGAGCAACTCGATGCCATTATTCTAAATCACTGATGCAGCGAAAACATTCATCTTTGAAAAGTAGACATTTTGTAGTGACATGGTTGTTTTTACACAACAGGAAGACTAGACCTTGATGGAATATTAACCCTAAAGGGGGGCTGCATCAATTTTACACATGAAGATCAGTTTGTTTGTCAGCAGTAAAGAATTTGTTAGCTCTCTTGAGGAAAAGCAAAGTCAGTCTGTTGGTCAGTCTGTTGGTCGATCAACTTTGATCTTATCTGAATATCTCAACAGTAGGAATGCACACATTTTTAAATTATGGGCCTATACTGGTGTTTGAAATAACAATTTTGCCAACAGTCAATACCAATACCAATTTTTTTTAAATTATATATAATATACCTTGATTCCCTCTCTATTTTGTACTGCTGTGAAAACGTAAGCAAATTTGTCCTTCAAACAACTGTAATTATTCTCACCAAAAGCAACATTTTACAAGAATACATTGAACACATGATGAGAAGTTATAATTTACCTTTGTCCAACACTCATTTGTACTGAATAGAGCTTGAGCACATCACAGTGTGACTCAGAGAAACCTCCGTGAGCTGTTAGTTGCTAACTGTCAAGTCTTGCCACTACCTGCTAACAGCTAACATGTACTAGCGTTCCTCTTTCACAGATTTGTTGTTCAGAATGTATCATTATCAGGGAAACAATAGGATACGTTCCCTGAGGCATCGATAGTGAGTTTACCGCGCCCTTTTGTCTAGATGGCGTCCCAGGGAAGATCTCTGTTTGTCCCAAATGTATTTTCTATTGTCCCAAGGATGCCAGCAGCTATTAGCCATCTCGTCAAACAACATTGTGAATACAAAACCATTTTGTCAAACAGTCATTATAATCTTCTTGTACCTGCTCATTAATTTAAGCTTAGGTTTTTGGCTGCTAGTCTGGAGCCTTGTTTTTTAGCCATTTAGCCTATGCATAATTGATGTGACACACCAGAAAAACATTGGTCATTTCCAGTGCTGAATGTCATCTTATTTGAAAATGGGCCGTTGCCAGTCAACAAGGCAAATAACAACCAATACCATTTTGTAGCCAATAAATTTGTGCCTCCCTACTCCACATTGATTAGATGGATTGCCATGAAATAATGAACAGACATTGTGGATCTCCAGTAGATGAAGCATAATGACTCTGGTGATCCCCTAAGTTTACATTCAGTGCCACCAGCAGGTCAAAATTTTAACTTAGCTGGTAAATTATCACAACATCTTCTGAATGGATGGTGACAAATTTATGTAAAATGTCTTGTCAACTACAGTACAGGTTTGCCACAAAATTTAATGTAGACATCAGTGCTTTGTGAATGATTAGTAATCACTTTGTTTGTCAGGTCAAAATGACAATTTGCCCAATATTGGGCCAAAACTAATGACACTCCCATCAGCCTCGGCTGTACTTTGTGTTTTGTGCTAATTAGAGAATGTTAGCATCCTAACATGTTAAACCAAGGCAGTGAACATTATAAACATTATAGCTGCTCAACATCAGTATGATAACATTGTCACTGCAAGCATGTTAGCATGCTGATGTTAGCATTTTGCTTAAGCACTGCTGTGGCTAAGAACAGCCTCAAAGAACTGCTGTTGTGACTGCGGACTCCTGAGGGACGTCCACAAGGAAAAAGATAACTGAAACAATGACATTCTGTAGACAGGCACAGACTGCTGCTTTGGCTGTGTTGGCAGTAAATTCAGATGGTCTTTGGCTTTCATTGTTTGTATCAGTCTTACTCGGGGAAGCACAAATGATGTGATGGTCACAGATATTTATTCTAGCTGAAGTTGCTTGTTATTATTTAGGGAGGAAGAAAAGGCGTTATTGACATGTCTGTTTCTTCAAATAATTAATTTCACTTGGATGGCTGCAAGATAAAAATGCCCATTCTGTTCACAACATAGGAATTTGAATTCATGAAGTAGCCATTTCATTTATTGCATGTTAGTGAAAAGTGAACGCTATAGTCTAAAACATAAAAGAACCAAAATAAAATTAAAAATAAAAACCTATTTATTATATTTTTTTTATTTTATTTAATTCTGTTGACTCATTTATATATTTATGTTTCTACATTTACTTTGTTATGCATTTATTTCATAGCTACCTGTATTTGTTCAGATTTTTTGGGGAAATGTATGCATTTATTTATTTATTTCCGTTATGGGCGGGGTTCAGACAGTTCATAAAACCAAGTTTAGTTAAAAATACAAAAATAAAGAGAAAAGAGAGAGAGAGAGGTAGATGGAAAGTTCAGTATAGTAATGTAGAGATATATACTGAACACAAATATAAATGCAACACGTTTGTTTTTTCTCCCATTTTCCACAGGTTTAAGTTAAAGATTTAAGACTATATGCACCCAAAAGATTTATTTCTCTCAAATTTTGATTGCTAATTTCTTTAAATCCATGTCAATGAGCACTTCTCCTTTTCCAAGATAATCTATCCATCTGGCAGGTGTGGCATATTAAGACCCTTATTAAACAGAATCATTACTGCACAGGTGTGCCTTGAGATGGTCACAATAAAAGGCCACTCTAAAATGTGCAGTTTGATCACACAACACAATGCTACAGATGTCACAAGTTTTGAGGGAGCATGTTACTGGCATGCTAACTGTAGAAGTGTTTAGCAGAGCTGTTGCCTGTGAACTGAAAGTTCATTTCACTACCATAAGCTGCTTCCAGTGTCGGTTCCATTAATTTGGCAGTACATCCAACAGGCCTCACAACTGCAGACTGCATGTAGCCACACCATCTGAGACCATCTGAGACCAGCCACCTGAACAGCTGATGCAATAACTGTAAGAATTTCTACACAACCTGTCAGAAACAGTCCCAGGGAAGCTCAGTTGTGTGCTCATCATCCTCCTCTGTTGACCTCACAACAGTTTGTAGTAACCAACTTGTGCGGTTGTGAGGCTGGCTGGATGTACTGCCAAATTCACGGAAACGCCATTGGAAACAACTTGTGATCCTGAAATGAACATTCAGTTCACAAATGACAACTGTGGTGGACATTCCTGCAGTCAGCATGCCAGTAACACGCCCCCTCAAAACCTGAAACATCTATGGCATTGTGTTGGGTGGTGAAACTGCACATTTTACAGCAGCCTTTTATTGTGACCATTCCAAGGCACACCTGTGCAGTAATGATGCTGTTTCAGTCAGCATCTTAATATGCCACATCCGTCAAATTTTGATTATGATGGAAAATGAGACTTGCTCACTAACACAGATTTTAACAAAAAAAGTCTCAGGTCTTTGACTCAAACCTGTAAAAAATGGGAGCATAAAAACAAAAGTGTTGTTGCCAGTGAATATTCGGTTAGGAAATACAACATTTGCCCAATTTAATGTGACTTCCAGTATAACCACACCTTCTGTGCGTCTTCTATCTGAATACAGATCCAGAGACAGATAATTTTGTTGATTGAACAGAAACAGATAAGGATGTCTCGCTACACCTCTACACAGCACAACACATTTGATGAAACTTTCCAATCCTGCTTTAGATGGTCTTTGTTTTTTGGGTTTTTTTTTTGTTAACAGATTTTGAGTGTCGTGACACAGTCGTTCTCTGTTTCCTCTGCTGTTGTCACTCGCATTCCAGTAACTGGACCTTGTTTCTTTGCTGTTCTTTTAAAAAGCCAAACCTGTACCCTAACTCTTTTAATCCACCTCTCTTGTTTTCTGCAGATTCACGTACACTTTAGGAGAAGGAATGTGGCTGCCGTTAAGTAAAAGCTTTGTCATCCCCCCCGCCGAGCTCGCCATCAACCCCTCAGCCAAGTGCAAGACGGACATGACAGTCATGGAGGACGCGGTGGACGTACGGTGAGATGACGTTTACTGGTACCACTTTCCACTAAACACTGCTTCTTTCTTGAGGTGACATTTCAGAGACATGATGATAGAAGCTGCCACTAAAGAAATAAAAGGTCCATAAGGCTGTGAAGTAAAGCAGAGTTTTGCGGGCCGCTGCACCGAACTGAGCACTGCTAGAGCTTTGCATTGCTGCGCTGAAATATTACCAGGTGCCTCTGACCACTTTATATTTTATTGTGCCTGATGAAGCCTCACAACACAAAAAAGTACATATTGGCTTTTTGATAAGTATTTCTCCTGACCATGTTTTTAATTCGTCATCCTCCAGAATGTAACTTCATCTCACTGATTTGTCTCCTCACTTAATCAGCGTTTGTTTTTATTTACTATTGTTGCAGTGAATCTTAAGCATCCCTGTGGGGTTGATGCAGAGGTCTTAGTGGTCATGATTCAGAGGGTAATAAAAATCTAACATCTAACACAAAATCAATTATGAAGACGCAGATAAACCAGAGTAAAAAAAAAAAAAAAAAAAATGAGAAGAAAGAATTACTTAGCAATTCAAAGCCATAAAAAGCGTTTCGATTGTTAAATGGTTCATAACTCTGCTCTGTGTGCAATGACTGTGTTTGTGTCTAGGCTGCAGAGCGAGCCATAAGGGAGCCAAAACAATGCTGCAGTATTAAACTGGACTCAGCTGACAGCAGTGACACAATAGAATTACTTAGCCATGTAGCTTTGCTAGAAGAGGGGCGGGGCTTAAGGATGGGGATCTTAATAACAAGACAGCCTTGTTATGAAAGGGGGATGGAATTTTTCTTTTTTTGTCACTCCCTAGCCCTTTGTCTTGCTATACTGTCAGGTCAAATGTTTCCTCTACGAATGCTTTGTCTATGACTGGGTAATTTAAAAAACTAATAACTGGATGTCCATGAAATGTATGAGAAAGTAAATGGAATTAGCTCTAAAGAAAAAGCTTGTTTTTCTGGTTTACAACTCAAGTGAAACGCGATCCCTTTAACTCTCTCATCCTGTTTATTTTTATTTAGACCTTCTTCCTCTTGTCTTACATTGTGGCCACTGCTCTATAATTGTCCATGTTTCCAGAAAGGCTGCAGTGTGATTTTCTGTTGCATCCTGGATGGTTTTGGTAATCCACTGTTTTGGTTTTGGAATGATTTAACTGTAGTTTTGGGTACAGTCACCTCTGTTATTTTACACATTAAATCCACCACAGACTCAGTGAGTTCAGTGTTACCATTGGTGACACTGACAGTGGTCGAACATGCTCTGGATTCTGATTCATTCCATCTCTCACTTTACTGGCAGCATATGTCGGGAGTTTGGTCACATATCTTGACCTCAACAAGATGGCCTCATGGTCATTTCCCTAGAACTCTGTGCCTCTGAACAGCGCATAGCAATTGTATCCCCTTGTGGCGCAGGAGCAGGACAGCACCTCACATTCCAACTGTTACACCAATCTTTATTCACCATAAAGCAAATAATTCCTTCCCTTCTCTCATCAGAATCCTCTGCTCTGTCAGATTGGTATAGAAAAAGAGTCACCTGGTTGAATGACGCTATCCAGGATTTAGCCAAGTTTCTGTGAAACAAAGGATATTACACTTACTGATATCCTGTAGAAAACTGAGGTGGCACGGAGGTCTTCCACTTTGTTATTCAACATCTGTACAATGGCTGGCACGATGCTAGTTCAGCTGGTGCTCTTTCATCTTCATCTTTTCCTCAGTTTTTACTGATGTTAACATTTGAGTACCTCGACCTGGCAAGGAAGCAGAGTCAGCAGGAGTAGAGTTTACCGACTGGTGAGTTGAAATAATGTACAGAAAAGTGACTCGCAGCCACACGCCAGGTGGCGCCTTGAACCATCCTCGCCTACGTCACTGTCTGCTACCATGACTCTACACTCGTTTGCTTTGCCCCAACACAGACCTATTAAGCAGGTTTTGACCATGCACTGTGTTAACACTGGAAAAGTAGGCATACTAAATAACAATTGATGTCCGAGTGTGTTCTTGATGACACAATTTTCCCAAAATGCATTTTTAAAAGAAAATAGGGAAACTGCTGACATCTGTTGGCTGTCTATTTTAATTAGCAGTAACATTCTTAAGTCACACTGCCACTGCCACTGACAATTGTCATTTCTTGTGTGTAAATGGTTATTTATGTTAATTTATTGTACAGTACAATAACTAAAACAAGCAGTATACTAGATTAATATTCATATAAACACAAGAAGTTTGTGCTCTAGAGAAAGGATCAACACTCAGTGAAAAACCTAAGCCCTATGATAAGCAAATATGGCAAGGCTTAACTATACAAACCAGTGAGCAGTGATAACTAGCATGTCTTTGGGGTCATCGGGTGGGAACCTTCTTTCACCAGTGTTTCGTCTAGTTGGTCCCACAACACCTCCAGGAGGCTAGACAGTGATCTCTAGCGTCCCAGAGACACTCCCCTAATGCCAGGGCTCACTGCTCCCCTCCCTGCACCAACCCAATAACCTCCTTTACCTTACTTACACATGGCTTTCTCAGCCCAAACAGCACTGCCACCTTCAACCACACCCAGGCTCCGTACATGCGAGCTCCAGGTAGAAACAGGGCTGATACTACCTTTCCTAGCACATTCACCATACTCTATTTCACATGCTACATAGCATAACTACAGTATAATAGAGATGTTACGCTCGAGCCAGTTTGCTTGACACAGTGTCGATCTATTGAAGCGCAAGTGTTCCGAGGCAGTGTTTCGATCCCTGCTTTGGCACGCCCACAATCACGTGACTACTGGGAGCGAGGCCTCGTTACAGGCAGTCCAAATGGTCTTTCACTTAGATGCAGTTCTGACACACAGCCAGCAGATGTCACTCTTCTGACTGTATGAAATGCTTCGAAGCAGTGTGTCATTCTTGAAGCAGGTGTGTCAAAGTGGTTCAATGCTTCATGAAGCTTCGATTTCACCATCACTACAATATAAGCTAAAGTTAAAGGAGCTAAATAAACTTACAGGATCAGCAAACACACTCACCTTGCCGCATGGCCTCAAACAAAATGGATTCAAATAGGCCACTCCCACACTTAAATACTTCCTCTTCCTGGATTTCTCCTGACAGGAAGTGGATCTCTCCACCTGATCTCAAGGAGTTATGTGCCCTGCTTAGTAGTTCTCCCTGCTGGCCCCCAACTGACATTATTTCTTATATAATAGATAAAATGGCTACATTTAATTGCTTCATCTGACATTTCCCTCACTGTCTTCCTCAAATTCTGTCCCCGCACTCCGAGTTCCCCCAGGAGCGAGACAGCTGATCTTGCTATGAATCCCCTACACCCCACTTCCACTGGACAAATCCTATACAATATACAATATGTTAGGGCTGGCACAATATCAGATTTTTATCTCACAATTATAATGGCCAAAAAAGTTCACAATAACAATATTACCGTGATGTTTAAAGAACATAAAAAAAAGATAACAGCTTTAGGCAAACTTATCTTTACTCTGTCTATTGTGTGTTTTGTCTCTATTATGGGAAATGAAATAAAATCAAAATACGAGTCGGGAGGGGAAGAGAGTCTGTAGCTATAACTGAACAAAGTCCAACAAACAGAGCAGGCAACCAGATGCTGTGGGGGAGAAAGACAATGCGATAAGGTAAAGAACAGACAATATTTAATAGGTGCTGGATAATTAACACAATATTATTAACATGATTTCAACTTTTCATCTTGAAATATCACAGTTATTGTCAATTCCAGTGCATCACAACACCCCCAGACTGTATAAAGTGGACTTCTCTCTGACATACATTGTTTTCTTACTGTCCAGCCACCAATTATTTGTTGACTTCCATAACACCACCATGGTGCCCACCTTGTGACATTTTTTCATCCTCTTGAGGGTCGCGGGGGGGCTGGAGCCTATCCCAGCTGACATCGGGCGAGAGGCAGGGCACACCCTGGACAGGTCGCCAGACTATCGCAGGGCTGACACATAGAGACAAACAACCATTCACGCTCACATTCACACCTACGGACAATTTAGAGTTATCAGTTAACCTAATCCCCAATCTGCACGTCTTTGGACTGTGGGAGGAAGCCGGAGTGCCCGGAGAGAACCCACGCTGACACGGGGAGAACGGGCAGAGGGGCTCCCACACCCCGGATCGAACCAGGAACCCTCTTGCTGTGAGGCGACAGTGCTAACCACCACACCACCGTGCCGCCCATATTTAATTTTTTGAATAATATTTAATAATATAAGAAATATTATATTCTAGAAATAATTACTGTCACAAATGTATTTTTTTCTTTTTCAGAGAATTAGCTAATTTTTCACAGTTTTTTCAGATGCATATCATAGCTGCCTACATTAATGATAGGGCAGAAAAACAGTAAAGATTTAGTTTACTGTTTTTTTGTTTGTTTGTTTGTTTGTTTGTTTTGTTTTGTTTTTTTTGGTATATTGATTTCAAATCTACCCCAAACACTTAAGCAACAGTTTATAACAATTAGTTTTTAATTTCTTGAAATTAAGGAAAAGAAACAAAGTAAATCTGAACCACTGATATGAAAGCTTAAACCCAGCAGTTCAGAGCTGAACATTATCTTATAAAACTAACTGTATATGATTCCAGTACACCTTGTGTAAAGATAACAGCATCCTGGCCTTCCTTATTGTCCCTCTGTATGTCCCATCTGTTACTACGCAGGCTGTTACCCACTCATAACCTTGCAACGGACAAACCTACACACTTTGAACCTATTTTACCCAGTGGTCAACAGCATTATGAATCACCAAGAGCATTAGTGTGACTGCATGTGGTTTGACAGTATTATGTTGTAGCGTAAAGTCTGTGTGAACAGGATTAGTTTGGGAGAAGAGGTATGTTAATGTAATTAACAGTGGGATTTGTCTTTTAGTGTATGCTGGAACATGCCCTGTCAACAAGTTAGTGTGCACAACCGTGTCAGATCCTG